CTCGGCGTGGCATAGGAGATGCAGATGGAATCTGCGTAGTGCCGTCACCGAGGAAGGGCAGCCCAGAACTTCCTTTGTTCCAAGTGTTTAGCAGCTCCAGGCATCGTGGCATCGCTTATCGAGGCAACGATGCCACCTGTCACCCGTCTTTTCCCAAGCATTCGGGTGGCAGCCTTGCGAGATGCAGATTTCGCAGCGACCCCGCACACTACGTGCCCGGATGACGCGAACACTTGCCAGCGGAGGTCAAGCTGCCATGTGCTAGAGGTGTTCTGGTGTTCTAGCTCTGCCTTGACTTGCGTGCACGTGAGTGTGTGAATGTGTGCGGGTGTTTGTGTTCCCTGCACTTGGGCTCAATGCTCTCAGCCTGCCGCTGTTTAGGACAAGCGGGCAGGCCGTGGGAGTTGTGGTGCAGAGCAGCTGCGTTCCGAGAGGGTCTTTTTCTTCGAGGCCACCATCGCCTGCGATGGCATCCTTCCGGTCCACCAAGGGCTTCACTGCCCCAGGCCAGAGCCTTCGAACGCGGTTTCGCGCCGCGCTGCCTTCTTTGTGCTCGCACGTCAGAGCGTGCCGGGAAGCCTTTTGAGAGGGAACAGGCTCGGGTTCAGGAGACTCTTACTCCGAGGGAGGGAGACGGAGGGAGACGGAGAGAGAGATAGCCTGAAAGCTTGGTTTGTTTTGTGACATATCGTCCGTGCTGCAGCTGAGAGCCCCGACAGAGGCAAGGGCTTGACGCCTTTGTCCAGGTAGTCTTGTGTTTTGTTTCCGGGCATTAATCCTGCAAATCCCAAACAGACGCCTTTGAGGACCAGCAGGACCACACGGAAAGCGAGTGGTAAGCGCACATGCAAGGTTTCTTTTTGACAGTCTGCGTGACCAAAGATGCCAAGATGCTCATGCTCATCATGCTGGCTCCCGCCCCACCCCCCCTCACACGGCCCCCTCTCGACAGTGAATACAATGTTCCGCTCACGGTCAAGCTCGCTTTCCGTTGAGGGTTTGCCCAATGCGCTTTGAGCCATTTGTTATAAATAGTTTGGTTGACTTTGCTTTCTGTACACGGACTCAACATACACCATGCCGCTTCTTCTGCTTGCCTTGTCGGCAACCAGTCCTAATGCCAGAACTGAAAGAGCAAGTTAGATGATGCTCATGATGCTGGGTCCCAAATGCTCATGCTGGGTCCCTGCCTTCTGCACCCATGCAAAGCCCGACTGCATCCCCCCACTCCCGCCTCTCGCGAGAATTAACACAACAATCCGCTCCCTGTCAAGAACGCTTTCCGTCAACCGAGTCAAAAAGGCCGTGCGACTGAGAGCCTGTCCGGACCTGCTGTGCGATCCGTTTTGAACACGAGAGCAAGCATGAGCCGACACACGACCGGGCATCTGCAGATAACTAGGTGCAATGGGACATAGTCGATTGCGTAAGGATGGGGCTTCGGCTTGTCATACAGCTGCCAGGAAGAAGCCATTTCGCGAAAAGTGTGGGGGTAAGCGTGGGTCACAGCTCAGGCTTACTCCGTGGTACTCGCCAAACTCCTAAACTTGCCCTAAACTCTCCACGAATGGAAGAAGGGAGGCGGGAGAAGCCCTATGCCGCACGCGGATGGTCTGGGGGAGGGGGGCCCCGCTGTTTGACCTGCATGTGCAACGGAGCGAAAAAAAGATGGAAAGAAAGCAACCATTCACCAAACAGCGAAATGAAGAGAGTAGGCACAAGACAGAATGGAGCGCTTTATGACGATACTGATGATGTTGGCGGTCACTCGCACTTGCTTGTGGTTGTTGGATGTGCAGGGGGACTCTTGATGTCATCAGGTGTGCTGCTGGTCTCCCTGAGCCTTGCCTGTGTGTACTACACTACGGTGGAGCCCTCGAATAGATCTCACTCTGGCTTTCCCGCAGCCTGCCGATGGCGCGCGAACCCTCGCAGGTTCTGCCCGGGGATGCCTTCGTGGGTCCGGCAGCTGCGCCAGCGACAGGCGCAGGCTACGCACTGCCACTTCGAGGCGTTGGGGTCGGCCATAAGCCTTTGGCGTTTGTAGGCCGGCTCGCCCTGCGGGGTGCGCAGAGCTCCGAGCGGGCCCCGACCTCCGCTGTTGGAGGCCATGTGTGCGGTGGGCCGAGCTGTGTTTGTAAAGGCTCAGATCATGCTCTGTGCATCCGATCAGCCCGGAAGGAGGAAGCGCCGCCTTGGGTGCCTCTGCTGCTGCCCTGCTGCTGCTGAAGGCAGCCCACAATGTCAGGAGGCTGGCTGCTTTGCGATGTGAAGTATATGGAGCCAGCAAAGCGAGAGACCGAAATTGACGATGCCACTCAAGATGCTCATCAGATGCACATGCTGCACATCAATGTTCCTCCCGCTGCTATGCATTGGGTGTGCCAGACACGTGCAGGAAAGATGCGACTCGCAGCCCGGTGCGCACGATAGTGAAGGCAAGATTATGTTCTGCACGAGCTCCAATCTCTCAGTCCAGAGTGATCCGAGCTGCAGACCAGTCCAGTCGTTACGATGGCTCACATACCCCAAAATTTAAGCTGCAGGCAGAAGGCGAGGGAAGGAAGCTAGAGTCTTTGGAAGTTGGCGAGGAGCTGGGATCTCAGGAAGCTGCACCTCTGTGGTCAGACTTGCACAGGACGTCCTCCCCGAATCATGCACGCTTTCTGAAGCTCTGAAGCTCTTCAGGCTCTTAATCTTCCCTACTGAGGGTCTCGGGCACCGTTACCCGCGATGCAAGAATCGGTGTCTACGTCGACATCGGCGCTGAAAAGGCCGAGATTGGCCGCCGGCTTGCTTCGAGTAGCGGAGTGCTGCTGTTGGCTGTTGCCTCGTACCAGTACCCCGCTAGCTACCACGATTGCGCTGTGAAGCGAGTCCTTCTTGCCAGCCCGCCCTTCTTCCTCGGAACATGGTTCCGAAGGCCAGTGCTCGGACAGGGCTTTTGAAGACTTGCGACAGAGCTCCATCCTGATGGATGATGTTTGTAGACTTTGTGCGCTTATTAAGCCTTGGATTTAGCAGGCACCTCACTCGCTGGCACATGTTCGACATCTTGCATAGAGGTTGTGGGAGGTCAGGATGGTTTGAAACCCTGAACCATTAACCCTAAAAGCCCTAAAACCTTCCCAAGGTCCTGAAGCCCTAAGGCCCTAACACCCTCAACCCTGAGCCCTAAAGAGGACGACACTCCCGGCTCCCGAGTCCCAGCCGCCTCCCGTGAAGAACCGGACATGTCAGGGTCAGCAGTACGAAGCCGGTGACGTGATAACGGGCTTGAAGATCTGGCAGGCTCTCTGTGCAGAGAGGCTGTTGAGGTCTGCAAGCGATGCGAGTATCTTGCACATCCTTCATTTGCGAGGTCGAGACGGGAGACACTCCTGCGACTCGAAAAATCAGGCGAAACGATCCGAGTAGAGCAGGGTTGTAGAGCTCTGGTCAAGACAGAATCCAGGTCTGTCTCACGCACATCATGATGCAATTCGTTGCAATGTTTCAGGGTGACTTTGGGCGAGCTGCCAACCTCCTTCTCCGAAGGTCAAAAGGCGCCCAGTAGGTGTGAGGGATCTCTTTCTCATTCCCCGACGTGTCAGGTCAAGGGGAAAGTCTCCACCACGCAGAACTATGGTGTCTTTTTTGACATCGGCGCATCGAGGAGAGTTTCTCAGAGATCGCACTGCCGCTAGCAGAACTGGTCATCCACTCGTGCGAACAAGACTCCGTGAGGTCAATGCCGTTTAAGTTTAATCCGTGATTCATTGCAGGGATGCGCTGGCTCCGGCAAGAAGCTTGAGCAAACGGCCGGATCAGTATGCCAAGGGGGAGGACCGAGACAGCGACAGCGCACTGGCCGAGTCAAAAAAAAGCCCAAAGCTCACCTCAGGAAGCCGAGCTGGAGGTTCTCTCCATCGAGGGCGACAAGGCGCTTGCCTTTTTGCTCTTTGGCTGCGTCTTGGGCTCCACAGATTCCTCGGACTTCTGAGATCACCGTCGGCATCGTGGGCGTGGCCGCCGCTGCCGCCGAGCAGTCCGCTGCCACATCCAAGGCCAACACCAAGACCAGTGACCAGACGCGCGATATTTTCCGAGCTCCAGGCCCTTGCGCAGCTCAAGCTAGGGCAGGACATCGAAGGCAGGGCAATCGCCAAGATCTACAGCTTGTCACGTGAATTCGTCAGAAGCTCTGGTCAGAAGCTCTGTGTTTGCGTCGACCAGCTGGTTTTGATAGGCAGACAGGGGCAGATGATGGTGATGGTGATGGTGATGATAATTCTTGTGATGATGATGATGATGATCATGATGATGACGGAGGTGGTAAAGGTGAGTGAACATGATGGCGCTGATGATGATGGCGGTCATGATCGTGACGATTATATGGTGCGTGCATGGGTGTGTGTGTGTGTGTTTGTGAACGGTCCTCGATCATGGGCTCAGGGAGGTCACTCTCCATTTGCTGTGCAATCGCTGTGCATGAGGACGTCAGCTTGCGTCAGTAGAACAATCCAATATCAGCAGGGACATGCAGCACCTTTGGCATACTGCACGCAACGAAGCTATTGCCAAAGTTGGGAAGGGATCCAGGACGCTTGATCGTGTACTTGCATCCTACTTTTACAGCTGTACATAGTGTCATCTTGTGATATCGTCGCTGTACAAACATAGTCTCTGCAGCCAGCCCGCGACAGCCTCAGGTCTGCAAGCCACAGGAACCATGTCTGTGCCAGTGACACGCAGCCTGATGCAATTTTCACTGGGGTGCTTCTCTCTCTGTCTCTCCCATTCAGCTCTGTTCTCGCTATAGATATTCGGGCCACCCGATTTGAGGCCAAGGAACTGTCATCTCGGTTCATGGGAACCCTCTCAGCTTACATGGTGAGACATGAGTGTTTGCGCAGGACGGCATGGGCATCTGGTAATTCTAGAGTGGTCTGTGTGCGAGCTGCTACCTCCGCTGGCTAGTCTGTCTCGTCTATTCGTACTTCCATGGTTCTTCTCTATTCTGCCTTTGCACAGGAGGGCCTACGCAGCCGGTAAAGTGTTTTGCTGTAAAGTGCTAATGCCACTGAAAGAGCACGACCGGTTGGATTTGTCACTTTTGCACAAGCTTTCAGCAAACGTCAGTTTTGCAGATAGCACCATGCAGTTTCCCTTGGGACAGAGCATGCTACTGCTCACATGCCCACAGGGGCTCCCGTGCGGACCCCCAACGAGGGCGGTTTCGCTCAGCACGGACTGACTCAGCAGCCTATGATCGCAGCCAGGGCCACCTGCCCACGTACCACAAGGAACCTTGGTACAGCCATCGGGGGTGTACATGCAATCACCTCCACAGCATTACGGAGGTGCGCTGCTCCCAACAGCAGCACAGGCACCACCGCAACCGTCTGTGCAAGCATGCGCACTAGGCTGCCTCCCACATCAGCAGCCACCACCACCCGTCCATTCACGTGCACGAGCCATTACCAGACCAACACACACTCAGCTAAGCTACATCCAAACAGCACCCCAGCCCACCCCAACTCTATACCCACCAGCACATTCTTACACGCAACAACATTTTTACAGCAGCCACTGCTACCACACCGACACAGTGGCCAACAGGCCACAACTCACCACCACCTCCACCAACTATGTGTCCCCAACAGCTGAAACCACAATCAGCACCGTATACACATCAACACCCGTGGCCACACGCCCCCCCACCAGCAACCGCAGACTGGAGACTGGAAAAAATGGTGGAGTTCAGCAGCAGTCACCACATACAACCACTTCCCAACAACTCAGCCCAACTCTACACAGCCAACTGGTCAGCAGGGCTCTGCGAAGCCAAGTGCCGCATCCGCTCAGACCCCATTCTCACCAACCCCGTCATTCCACACGGTCAAGCTTCGTCCTGCTGGCGAGGTTCTGAGCAAGCAATTTCAACGCGTGGCTCTCCACATGACGGGGAGCCAAGCAAGCATCCAAGCAAGCAAGGACAGCAATCCTTTTTCTGCGCTGTCCGGAAAACGTTTGGCCCCCTCCACGAAGTACATCAAGCCCGCAGCGGAGCTACGCTCAGCCGAGCAGCCACGTATGCATCCACAGGACGTACACGATGCTGAGCAGCTCCGGAAAGATGGGCGACATCAGCCAGGTTACTCGTGAGCAGCTCAAGAGCTTGGCACAGTGCCTCCTCGCTGCTGACGTCCAACTGTCACAGGAGGGCCGTAGGGCCATCCAAGTCATTGACTCATTGACATCGACAACCTTTACCTGGCATGCTCCTACCATCGAGCCCCACCGCCCGACGAATACTTCCGGAGCCGCGACCGTTCGGGACCACCCCCGAACAGATGAGGAGCAATCTTCCTTCTTTGAGCCACTACACCTTTTGCTATGGCACAGATTACGAGGCCACGGCCGAAATCATGTCGGATGGATACGTGCGCCAACATTGATCGATGATGGCAAAGAGCGACCATGTGTCGTATATGGGGCCGGAAACCCCGGAAATCAGTCCCTGAGCCTTGAACATTCGTGCCGGTCAAGTACTGAGGAAGCCGAAGGCCGGAATGATTCAGACGAGGCATACGTATGTGCCCACCGCGGCATCATCAGGACCATTGACTGGTGGGGGAGTCCACACGGCATAATTTTGAGCCCCGTGCTTTGCTAATGATCGGGTACAACCGATGACGCAGCAATACCACGGAAAAAAACGCGGACTACCTGCCGCGTTGTCAGCCCACACACATCCCTCACCCCAGCATGAACGACACCGCCACTCAGCAATTTGTAATCACACAAATCCAACGCCATTCCCAACACCAGCAACACCGACAACAGTACCTCAACATCCACATCCTCAGGAACGCCATCAGCCACATCCCCACCGCCATCTTTCACTGCGAAGATCACTTCCCCAGCAGACTGATGTGGTACTGCCCAACACAGTATGACACAGCCGTCACACGAACATTTACAGACCCGGGAGTGTTCACCGTCCGACACCTTCCACCACCTCCCCACCACCTCAACACCTATAACAACCTTACCAGCCTGCTGCCACCGTATCGCTGGGCACTCAAAGACTGGGGGAAGCTCCCCGCGACCTATGTGTTACCGAAGGCCAAGAAGCAGTATGCCAAGAGCAGACCCGTCGTGTCATTTGTGGGCGCGATGCTGAGACCATTAGCACACGATCTAGCAGACAGCAGACATCCTCTACCTCATGCTCATGCAAGCTTGTCCACAATCCTTGGGCAACGGAGACACACGCACTACCAATTATGGGCACTACGTGAAGCTTTCCACGCTATGCAACAAACAAGCGACGAAGAACAGTTCCGGCTATCCCTGTACAATCAAGATCTATCAGGATTCTGCGCCAGTATATCCTCAAACAGATTCATTGCCAGTCTACAACTTGTGACGCACTGGTGCCGCGGCAAGCGCCACGAGCATGCAGCAACTTTCACATCCGCCCACACTCAGCCCCTCCCAGCAATGCGCTTACACCTACACCTTGGCAAGTCTCACACACCCAAGCAACACCGACACACCATTCACATCCAGCACCTCCCAGACATTTGCAAAGCATTGTTGGTACTCAACTATTGCCTACTTGGCGACACACTCCCAACACAAGCCCGTGGTGCTCCAATGGGCTCCCCCGGTGGTGGCGCTGTGCGAACAATCCTGGACACACACACACACACACACACACGCGAACACTTACCGCACCCGCGTACAACGTCAAGCACACCCAGCCACAGACCTTCAGCATCAGCGGCTTCTGCTCCACACGGTATGTCGACAACCGCTGCGCCCTCATACCACCGCCAACCTCGTTTCCAGCAGTTTTTATCACCACATTTCTACGGCCCGCCCAAAGGTCTGGAGACCGAGCCCGGACTCGATTTTCCCGGCTTCTCTATCGACCCCAGGGACCACAGCACCCAATACAACCTCACAGCAAACCTCGCAGACATCATGTTCCCTCAGTCTGCATCCCCACCAGCCATTTTACGAAGCAGCTTTGCAGCCCGTGCCATTTTGGCGGGGCGACTCACGACACCAACCTCAGCTGTCGACACAGCCATGCAACAACTGACTGAGGTGTATACAAGAGCAGGTTACTTCGCATGCAGCGCGCCTATCATGCCAGGTATGCAGCTTCACGACCTGCAAACATATCACATCCCAGCCCTCAACTGCAGGCATCCTTGGCAGCTTTTTGCCCCAAGCATTTGCAAGCAATTCGAGTGCGCCATGTCTTCACCGACGGCCCTTTCTCGAACATGTCTGAAGCGCAACGTGCTACATTGGCTGATGTTACTCATGCTATGCTGTCCTCGTGCAGCCCAGTTCAAAAGAGGACGAAGGCAACACATAGAGAAGTTCGGGCTCATCCAGCAGTTTCGCTGATGTAGCGGACCCGGAGCTGAACAATTTGCTTGCAGACTTTATGCAGGCCACCAACGCCACCATCAATCAGCCCCTAAATCGAGTCTAGGCTTCGGAAGACGCACAAGCCAAGACGGGCACGAGAGCATGCCCACCCGTTGATCAGGCGGGCAAGTAAGCTTCAGTCCAGGCATAACATGTATGTCAGCACTGTGTCTTGAATACACAGAAACAGCAGAGTGCAACACACAGTATGCCTTCAGCTTGTTCAAACACATCACATTTGCAGTTGTCACCTTGCCGAACAACACGCATTCCTGTCCGCAGCCATCTCAGTATCCCGCGTCTATCTTTGCATAGCTCAACATGCAAAGATCCTCTCGTTCTCGCCCCAACGGGAGCCGAATGCAAGTGGCAACACATTGGACATGGTGGCGATCCTGGTTCATCGCACCACGCGAGTGGATCCGCCGAAATCAAGAAAGAAATCAGGCCGGCGGAGCAACCACCGCAACAGCACCACCACCATTGCCTGAGACAGAAGCTTCCCAGTACCACCAAAGAAAAGGAAGCGATCCCGCACACCATGAGCCAACACTGTAACTTCACTGCATGTTGCCAATGGATTGGCCAGCATTAACAGACGTTTCGATTTTGCGGTGCGATCAATGCATAAATCAGCATGCCCCTACTTTCGTCTGCCAGAATGCGCCCCAGACACGAGGCACTGTGTGTGTGAACGGT